TCTTTCTTTCTTTCTTTCTTTCTTTCTTTCTTTCTTTCTTTCTTTCTCTCTCTCTCTTTCTTTCTTTTCTTTTCCTGAAGCAAAAAGTGTTCATTTTATTTAAATAGTCATGTAAGGATAAAGTATTTGCTTTCAGAGAACTTAAGAATCCAGAGCTCTAACAGAAGTGACTCCTGTGGCATGTTGGGTGCTGTTCCTATGGGATCACATCTGTGATTTCCCAGGTCAGCATTTGACTCCGTTGAATATGTGGTTGTGGTTTATGTCTGTAATCTGGGCTGGATCAGGACAAGCCAAATCAAATCCATCGACTTTAAGTCTTTGTTCAACACTTACTTACAGGAGCAGCAATGTGGTGAAAAACAAAAACTCTAGATGGCATTACCTAGATTCTGTTATCCAAAACAATTTAGTTCTGTTCTAAATGTCAGACATCAGCTGAACAAACAGACAAGCCAACCAAAAAACCAGAAGTGATTAACTGGACCCATTCTCCTTTAATGGCAGAGCAGTGCTGTCTCTGAGGGCTCTCAACCCTACCCCAAGTGTCCTATCAAAATGTTCTTCCCATCCAGTTACAATAAAGTGAATTTCAAGGAAAGTTATGATAAACATAATTTTCCAGTGATATCAGCTTCCTAAAGCTGGTCGTGTGCCCCTGGGTGACCTCAGGCACATATATGTCTGGCCTGTATTCCCTGATACGACCTGCATCAGACCCGAGTTTTCCTACATCTAAAGGAGAGACAAAACATTATATTGCTGTGTTGATTTGATAGGTATCATAAGGATGACTGGGAGACATTTAGTTCAGGGAAAGTTGAAGCCATAGAAACTCCTATGGAACAAGAAAGAATTAGAGATGTTCAATGTAGTGACAAGAGGATTCTTGAAAGGTTCAAGCCTTATTGGGCATTTCGGGTCAAGGTTTCTGGGAATGATATTTTGAGGACTGTGGAAGATGCCCAGAGTGTGAGAAATACCAATGACTCCTGGAAGTTTACAGAGGCAGGAATGAAGCTAATGGCTTATTTTTAAGTCAGTTCAGATGGTTTGAACACAGCCTATTTTTTTAATTAATTTTTTAATTGTTATGTTAATCACCATACATTACATCATTAGTTTTTGATGTAGTGTTCCATGATTCATTGTTTGTGCATAACACCCAGTGCTCCACGCAGAATGTGCCCTCTTTAATACCCATCACCAGGCTAACCCATCCCCCCACCCCCATCCCCTCTAGAACCCTCAGTTTGTTTTTCAGAGTCCATTGTCTCTCATGGTTCGTCTCCCCCTCCGACTTACTCCCCTTCATTCTTCCCCTCCTGCTATCTTCTTCTTCTTTTTCTTTTTTCTTAACATATGTTGCATTATTTGTTTCAGAAGTATAGATCTGTGATTCAACAGTCTTGCACAATTCACAGTGCTCACCCTAGCACATACCCTAGCCAATGTCTATCACCCAGCCACCCCATCCCTCCCACCCCCCACCATTCCAGCAACACTCAGTTTGTTTCCTGAGATTAAGATTTCCTCATATCAGTGAGGAATTCTCATATGATACATGTCTTTCTCTGATTGACTTATTTCACTCAGCATAACACCCTCCAGTTCCATCCACGTCATTGCAAATGGCAAGATCTCATTCCTTTTGATGGCTGCATAATATTCCATTGTGTATATATACCACATCTTCTTTATCCATTCATCTGTTGATGGACATCTTGGCTCTTTCCACAGTTTGGCTATTGTGGACATTGCTGCTATAAACATTGGGGTGCACGTACCCCTTTGGATCCCTACATTTGTATCTTTGTGATAAATACCCAGTAGTGCAATTGCTGGATTGTATGGCAGCTCTATTTTCAACTGTTTGAGGAACCTCCATACTGTTTTCCAGAGTGGTTGCACCAGCTTGCATTCCCACCAACAGTGTAGGAGGGTTCCCCTTTCTCCGCATCCCCGCCAACATCTGTCGTTTCCTGACTTGTTAATTTTAGCCATTCTGACTGGTGAACACAGCCTATTTTTTCCTGATTTTTTTGAAAGTGAGGCAGAAAAATTTCCTTCTGAAATCCTGTTGCAAATCCATTCATCTTTACAAAATTGCATAGCTGACACACACTGAGCTCTATCTGCCAAGCATACACAACTTGGTAATACTGTATTACCTCCTTTTTAAGTGTGTAGTTTAAATGTCACCTCCTCCAGGAAGTCTTCCCTACCATGTTTAATTGGCAGACTGACTCCCACATGATTTCTATTGTATCACCTGTGTTAGTTCCATCAACATACTTGTCACTGCTCTGGTGATATTGCTAAGCAAATGCAGTGTAATATTTGAATTCTCAGATGTTTATATGTGGGTATCAATGTGGTGGTTTTCTCATGGCAAATCAATATGCCATTTTAAGAGTGACTTTCCTGCCGTTATTCTGCATACGTATAAATGGCATCCCTTAACTGAAAAATACACTTTATAAATGAGAAAGATAAATCAGACAAAATATACATATACAGGATATGTATCTACAGATTAAAATCATGTAGAGATCCTCTGAACACCTCTTTCCCACTACCTGGTAGTGGCTTTGCATGCTAATCATATGGTAATATGTCAATTAACACTATTTTAAGGTAAATAATCTCCCTGAGTCATTGACTTTATTTTGCCTCTGTGAATGAAAACTGGTAACATTTCGAGTTACTTTTGACTAGGAGAGAAGTTGGCTTATTATACGTCTTGTAAAATTATAAACATTAACTTGAATATTGTTTTCCATGATGCCTACTTGGCAAAACAGGCCTTTAGGGACTGAATACTATGCTCCAGAAGAAACAATAAACTTTTGAAGTTTAGAGGACTAAAGAGTTCTGTGTGTATTTTAATAGGCAACATTCAAAGACGCGTGTGTGTGTGTGTGTGTGTTGTGTGTGTGTGTGTATGTGTGTGTGTGATTGCTAAATACAGAACAGGGTTTCAAGTTGGCAAGTGTTTTTCAGTCTCCAACTTTATCTAAAATTTCTTTTTTAATGCCTTTTTAGAAAAAATTTTAAAGATTTTATTTATTCACGAGCGAAGGGGGGGAAGCAGAGGCAAAGGGAGAAGCAGGTTCGCTGTTGCAGGGCTCGATCCCAGGACCCCAGGATCATGACCTGGGCCAAAGGCAGATGCTTAACCAACTGAGCCACCCAGACACCTTATTTTTTTTTTTTATAATTTTTCTTTCTTTCTTTCTTTTTTTAATGCATCAATCATGGTTTCCTCCCTTCAATCTGTCTCAAACTGTTGTCTGAGCAGCTTCAGTTAGGAAAGCTGAAACTCGGGAGGAAAAGCAGGAAAAACCGAATCTACGTAACATTCTGCATCTGCAGTGACTTGGGGAGTACTACTTGAACTCTTGACCCCACTTATGCAGCACGTACAGTGGAAAGGAAACTGTTCTACTTTCTCTGTGGTTGCGTTCACTTTTCTCGTATCTTGATGTCGACAATTACGTAGAGTTGGTGCATATCACCGATTGAATCTCAGCACTCTCAAGGGCATAAACGAATCTGCTTACTGGTGTGTGTTTTTCTTGAACAGGAGATTGTCTCATCCCAGGCTGGTCCAGCTCTATGGAGTGTGCATACAGCAGAAGCCACTGTACATTGTGACCGAGTTTATGGAGAACGGCTGCCTGCTGGACTATCTCAGAGACAGAAGGGGAACGCTTACAAGGGAGATGCTGCTGAGCATGTGCCAGGATACCTGTGAAGGGATGGAGTATCTGGAGAGGAACTGCTTCATTCATAGGGATTTAGTAAGTAGGATGCAAGTTGGCTGATTATTCTAGGCATTATATTCAGAAGAATATGACGATTGAGGACTTTCACTATTTTTTTTAAAGATTTTATTTATTTATTTGTCAGACAGAGGGAGAGAGAGAGGGAACACAAGCGGGGGGTGGGGGGGGGAGAGGCAGAGGCAGAGGGAGAAGCAGGTTCCAGGGAGCCTGATGCGGGACTCGATCCCAGGACCTCGGGATCATGACCTGGGCCAAAGGCAGACGCTTAACCGACTGAGCCACCCAGTCATCCTGAGGCCTTTCACTATTTTAAATAAAATACCTTTGACTTAATTTCTAAACCCTTTCCTACTGTAATTCCATGGGAAATGTAGCTTCATTTTTAATTGCCCCTTAATGCTGCAGCCAAGTGAGGCATTACTCTAAATGTATCTTCAATTAATTAACTACCACGCTCATCAACTAACCAAAACTATTTTACTTTTCTTTCCTCTCACCTTCCCTCCCTTCTTCCATTACTTCCACTTTTCTTCCTTTCAACCAGTAATCAAATACGTGACGAGAGCCAGTATCAGCCAAGCGCTCTGCCGGGCACTGGACAGACAGTGGTGAAGATCAGGCTCCAGGGGCTCCCCCCACCCCCATGTGGGGGTGTTTTTTGGTTATAACAGTATCACAGTAGTGTTACCGGCATCACTGAGGAGGACTAGAAATGTTAAATTATTCTGTGCTGGGATGCTCCTGAGAAAAAAAATTAAAGCTTATCTTGCCCCAAATGCCCCAGTGAGTTCAATGGGCAGCCACGATTCAGAAGTACCGCTCTGGAGGTGGACAGCCTGGGTTGAAATGTGGCCTTTGTTTCTCCCTAGCTGTGTGATGTTGGGCAAGCGAGTTAACTAGGACGTGGGATGAATTACATCACCTTCCTCCTGTGGGCTTGTTGGGAAGATTATATGAATTAATATGGATAAGCACTTACAATTGCTCTTGGCATATAGAAGAGCTCAGCTCTGCTCTTCCACAGCAATAGCCCTTCCATAGCCGTTTAGACCACTGTTCTGTCTCCCTCAAGGCATGTCCCCCAGTCCCCAGCATGTAGTAGGAACACATTTTTGAAGGGATGAATATGATATCAATTCCACTGAGCTTACTTCCCTAGTCTCTGCAGGTCAGTCTTTCCTCACAAAGGTTAGAATTCAAAACTTCCTTGGGTGATGGTTCTGGTCATTCTCTTTGCTCCAAGTGGCTTTTCTCAGATCCCCCTGTCCTTGGTTTCTTCCTTGATTCCTTTCTTTTGTGTTCTATTTTATCCATCTTTATGCCATTTAAAATCTGTCGGCTAAGCACGAGTCTTTTCCTTGTCAAGGGCTTAACTTGTGGTTTGGCTTGGAGATCCTTGCTAGTATTTGTCAAAATCTTTTAAACTGGCTCCTTCTGGCTTACCATTTTTAGTTCCTTGTTTTTGTTTTGGGACTAACTGAAGCACCTATCAGCTTAGAAGAGAACAAAATCTATCAAACTGTTGACTTACGTGAGGCTCAATAACCAAATCAATGATTTTCTTTGACGAAGCTCTCTGAAAATGGATTATTTTGGCATCAAATACATGGTCTCTGCATTATTTAAAAATACACACTGTTTTTAATGCCAGGATTCACAGTTTAACATCTCTTTGATGTAGTCTTCCTAGTTATCAAAAATACCTGTTGAGAGGCATTAAAAACTTTTAAAAGGAAAAGTATTAAAATTGCTTTTGACCTTTTTTTTGGTTATTTTTTCTTTCTTTTTTTTTAAGATTTTATTTATTTATTTGAGATAGAGTGAGTGAGAGAGAGCACAAGCCAGGGGGAGCAGTAGAGGGAGAGGGAGAAGCATACTCCCCACTGAGCAGGGAGCCTGATACGGGGCTCGATCCCAGGACCCCGGGATCATGACCTGAGCCAAAGGCAGATGCCACCACACCGACTGAGCCACCCAGGCGCCCTTTTTGGTTATTTCTTTGAAGAATCATTAAAATCCATCATGAGGGCAGATATATAGAATCATACATAGCATCGACAGGTATTACCAAAAAAATAAATGGCTGCTCATAGAAGTAGAGTGGGGCCCCAAGTAAACTAAGGAAAACAAGAGTAGAAACAAAAGAAAGACTATATTCAAATGCGGATTCTTTTCTTTCTATAGGCAGCAAGGAATTGTCTGGTCAGTGCTGCAAGTATAGTGAAAATATCGGACTTTGGAATGACGAGGTATAATATATATAAATATTTTTTGTTTACTCATAAGAGGGAATCTTATATCTCTCTATTAACAAACTGAAGATGTCAATAGGCATTGCTTTTTTTTTTTTTTTCCCCCGTGAGGAGAATGTTGATGTGGTTGCTTGGCCTGTTGCCCTGCTTTGAATTTTAGGACATAACTCAATGTTAGCTGTGAGGTAAATGGATACTTTGGACTATTCTTCGGATCTTCTTTCAGGTTATTTTCAGGCATAACTTAAAATTTTTAAAAATGTCTCAATCTACTTGTTACATGCATGAGGTTAAGAAAAAAGCTCTTCTGACATATGTATATTTCTGAAAGATAAAAGGATAAATTTGTTTAGTTCCGATTTTTCCATGTCATTGTCATGCATTTCTATGATCAGGTGTAGTAGTTGACTTTAAGACTACGACTCAAAAGTGTGGAAAATCTTTAACCTCATTTTCTGCCACTCAATGCCATTGATATATATATATTTTTAAATGTACTAAAATTTAATCATCCATAAAAGCTGTAATTTAATCTGACAGCAAAACACAAGAAGCAATATTAGAGTTGGTTTTGAGCTCCCTTTCCTTCAGGTTGCTAAAAATTCAATGCCCGTGAATTCAGAGTTTCTTTCTGACTCGCTTCAGGGTCAGATACAGTGTTTCATGGGGCCACGTCCTGGAGAGGGCATGTCTGGTCCTTGTTGTTAGCCACTGACAACTGGTATCCTTGCAGCCACCATCCTCCTGTTTTGTCCTTGGCTGAACATCTGCATAGGCGGCTGCTGACTCATCCCCAATTTCTGTCTGCAAGATGCTGTCATACGGGCATTCTCCATGCTTAGAAACCCCCTGGAGCTATCTAAGGCCCTATTTGCTTAGGAACATCCACAGCTATTTGTTTTTGGGAATCTTTTTGCTTTTCCTGGGGCTTGACCTGGGGAAGAGGCACGGGCTCTGTTTTGCTCTTGAATCCCAGCAACCCTCAGTGGGGCCTTCTTTCCCTGTCATGTCAGTGGGGCAGTCCTTGTAGAGCACAGGGGACAGCACTCTGCCGCAGTCACCGACTACTGGCTAATACTGCTCCCCTTTCCCTTTGTTCTTTGCCACCTCCCAGCTCCAGAGGTCCGTTCGTTAGAGGGATGGATGTTGGGGTGGGGGTGGGGGGAGATATCACTCTTATTTATGAGCCATTCTCCCCAATATTGTAACAGCTCAGTCCCCCTCCTTCTCTGGAAAGCTTAGACTTTTGAAACGCAAAAGCTATGAAAAATGGCTCTTTCTCTTTTGTTTTCTATTAGCTACTCTTTCCCTGAGTAGGATGACTTCTGGCTCAATAAAGGGCTTAAAGGTGGGGTGAGGTAGGGTGCGTGGGAAAAAAAAGAGAGTGTGAGGAAGCACTAATAAATAATTAAAAACTACTCTACTGCACACCCCAGGGGCGACAAGTTAGTCATCATCTCTTCGCTCTTCTCTCCAGATTCCCCTACTTGGATATTCCTGCCTACAAGCCTCAAAAGAGAGAGAGGGTTTAATATTTTTGTAGTTTTTAAAAGGAACTGGTAGTTATTACCGATGTCGTACAGGGCCATTTTAATGCACTGGATATTTTTCACATCAAATGTATTATGTTCAATACTCTTATTTCCCCCTTTCTCTGCCTCACAAAACCCATCTGCATGAAGAAAAAAAATAAGGCATCCAGCTTTGAATTTATTCTTTGCCATATATATATTTATTTTTTTATTTCCTTTTTATAATCTTGGTTGTTAGAGCACTCAGCATGCTCCTTTGCAGAATTAAGAATTTGTCAATATGAAATAATCAGTGGGTTCCCGATTCCAATCGGTTTTGGATTGAAGATTTGTTTTGGTTTTCTGAGACCCAGATAAACCCAGTTGAGGCTTGGTTTAAGGAGGAATCACTATATAGGATACCTTCCCATTTTGGTAACAAGAAGAGAAACTTTGGGGGGTAAAAATGCTTTCTCTTTTAAAAATTTATTTATTTATTTGAGAGGGAGAGATTGAGTGGGTGGGGGGAGGGGCAGAGGGAGAGGGAGAGAGAATCCCCAAGTAGACTTCCTGCTGAGCACAGAGCCTGATGGGGCTTGATCCCAGGACCCTGAGACCATGACCTGAGCCAAAATCAAGAGTCAACTGCTTAACTGATTGAGCCACCCGGGCACCCCTGCTTTTTCTTTTAGAACTTAAGGTAGACTAAGGGGGTTTGAACTAAATGAAACTTGGAAGTAATTAGCACAATGTGCTTTGAATCTAATGACCTTAGGTACGTTTTGGATGATGAATATATCGGTTCTTCTGGAGCCAAGTTCCCAATCAAGTGGTCCCCTCCTGAGGTTTTCCATTTCAACAAGTACAGCAGCAAATCTGACGTCTGGTCATTTGGTGAGTAAATTTGATGTTCATTTGATGGAGATTGATTTAATAAAAGGCCAATCTTTTTTAAGCTTTGATTTCTTAGTATGATGTGGGGTTCTAGAAAGGTCTTCTTGTAACTGTCCTTCTGTCTTAAGTGTTCTAAACACATCCAGGCTGTCTTTGGCAACTGGTATCATACACCTTCTTATATAAGTCTACCTTTTGGATCTTTTCCTTTCCCGATGAGCATTTGCAGGAAAACCATAACAGAGCGTCTACTGATCTAGAAAACAAAGGCAGCCACCTTTTTTACACCACAGAGACTTGCAAGGAAAATAGATCTAAGGTGTCACTGAATTTCGAGTGTAATTAATAAACTTCATTTCTAACTACTAAGCAAGACTACTGCATTTATTTCATTACCTTCAGATTTTGTGGTATTTTAGATGTAGGCCTCCTTGGGAACTGTCAATTGGAGTTTATATTGTGTAATGTTCTTCATTGAGAAAGAGATGTTGCAGATCCATGTCCAGTGGAGTCTGTTCTTTGAGTTGATTTTCAAAAAGTGGCAGTCAATTTGCAATAAGCTATCTATTCTCTTTCACCCAGACCTCTCTGGATAGCTTCTTGGGTTTGGAGACACCTCTGCACCCTCAGAAGGATGTGAATTTTATTGTCCATGTAAGGTGAAACTTGTATCATTGATCTCTTTAGTTCTCCACTGACTTTTGGTAGTTTTGGCAGGTGACATTTTATGCTCTACAGGAGAGCAGTCAAGTTGTGAGACTAACAGATAGCAATACAGGGACCTCATCAAGTGGGTGCAGAACAATTAGAATATCTGAGTTTTACCTGACCACTTGTCTCTATCTCCCACTGGACAGTGAGCTGCTTGAGCCCATGGACTGGTTTCTAGAGTCTTCTGGCTCTAGCATATGCCTGGCCTCTAATCAATGCATAATACATATTCTTAGAATAAGTGAATAATCAAATGAAGTTCAAATGGGAGCCTTGAAGGAGTTTCACTAATCAACCAATCAATGATTATAGAACACCTACTCATGTACCAAGCCCCAGCTAAATATTCTGCTCTACCCAGCAGTCTCATCTTTCAGCGGGCAGAGAGGAACACGTGCCTTCTACTGGCTGGTAAACTCTTGGCCACACAATTTTGTCATTTTCTATGGGGTGGCAGAGAGGCTTGCTGATTTCAGGGTGTGAAGACAGGAACATACTTAGAAATGAAAAATGTTGGCAGCGTTTTCTTTCAATCGGAAAGCGGTCAAGACCAGTGGAAAAGAAAGGCATTGTTTTCACTTGGAATATTGTCAGATTACAGGCCTGTTCGAAAACGAAGATGCACACGGGCTGATTCCTAGACAGAACTGTTCTCATTCTGGACCGATTATAATGCAGAGGCTGGAAGAGGAAAATAAGGCCTTGTAGTTTCAAAGAGTTCTTTCAGTTTCAAGTAACCTCTTGTTTACATGCATTTCGTGTTGTAGGAGTTTTGATGTGGGAAGTTTTCACGGAAGGAAAAATGCCGTTTGAAAATAAGTCAAATTTGCAAGTTGTGGAAGCCATTTCTAGAGGCTTCCGGCTGTACCGGCCTCCATTGGCGCCGATGTCCATCTACGAAGTCATGTATGGCTGCTGGCACGAGGTGAATGTTCCTTACTCTCCTGGGAAGGTGGGCAGTCCCAGCATCGGAGAACAGGCCCGAGCGTGACAAACATTACCCCAGGGCTCCATGGGGGTGGGGGGAGGAGTCTGTTTCTTGATGAGGATCCCTAAGACAGGAAGTGCTATTTCTGTCTGAAACTCCCGCTGCCGCTGCCGAGGTCGAGGTCGTCAGCCCATTTTGTTTTTAATGATGGCCTTTCACCTGAGGAATTCCGCGCCTTTTTCAGGTGTTCTTTGTCTGAGATTGGTTCTTGCAGAAACTCTTGTGGTGACTAGAGCCTCAGGGGTGAGATGTATCACTCCCTTTGAGAACTGGTGGGTGGAAACTAAGGGTAGAATCAGGTTTGGTAAACACTGACGTGGAAAGAGAAGGATGTTGTTTGTATTTACTTCATTCTACTATAATGTGTCTTGCTTCTCCAAGGCTAACAGTAATGGTTTTCATCTCTTTTTTGGCACTCAAGATTCCTGATAGATTAGGAATAAAGACAGAAAGTGTGCCAGGAACTTGTACTCAGGAAATTCCCTTTGGGGGGAGGGCAGGGGTCAGTCCAGTTTTTCTTTTTCTTGAAATGCCACACTTCAAAATAAAGCCAGACATGTCCTGTCTTTTCTGGGCACAGACTCAACGCACCTCTCTCCTTTGTATCAGACTCCCCTGTGACTTTTGACAGCTTTCTCTTTCCAGCTGACAGTGTCTGTCCAGAAATACCACAGCTGGATGAGGAGTTCCCTCCCGGCTGAAAAAGAAATCACTTGATTCGCAATCCACAAACACTGAAAAACTCAATTATTTCAAGAGCAGTGTAGTTGTTCACATTCCAGAGAAGTATTAATTTTATAAAGATCCTTGATGTATGATAATATTTTACATATGATGAACTGCTCTGTAAGGAATCTTGAAACACAGGCACATGTTAAGTGAGCTGTTAGCAACAAATGGCTGTCTTAAGAGCTTCCCTGCAATAACAACGTGGATAGCTTAGAAATATATACTGCCTTTGGAACAATAGACATGTACAGTGCATAAAATATAATACTTACTGAGATTTTATTTATCTGTGGGGAGGAAACAGAAAAGGGAATAAATCAGAGGGTGGCAGGAGGCCTGAGTAAATGATGCCAGTCTCAAATGGTAGTCCAAGCATTGATTAAAAGACTGTTTTTGGTTATGCTGATTTATTTGTTTGCAAAAGGTGATTTGCCTACAACTTTTTAAGGTAATCTAAATGCCCTAAGTGCTTAGGCACCTTTAAATTCAAATGTGATTATATTATCACACACACACACACACACACGCACACACTGATATACACATACTGTTTCATAGGCTCTTCTATCTGCAGAACGACAGCCTTCTCCAAAAACTCCAGAAATTATTCCTGGAACCCCAAGGAGAACTTGAATGTGTGCTTACACACCCTTCTGCTTGGTCCTTTTTATTGATGCCCTCTGTTTATAAAGCACTAAGGGTGGTGTCTCCCCACAAACTCTGCAGCCAGGGATCCTTGTGAGAATGTGGCTACCACAAGTGGTTCTATTTCCCATGGATTTTTTTTATTATGTTATGTTAGTCACCATACATTACATCATTAGTTTTTGATGTAGTGATCCATGATTCATTGTTTGCGTATAATACCCAGTGCTCCGCGCAGTACGTGCCCTGTTTATTTCCCATGGATTTTAAAGATGCCAACAGTGTCATCTTTTGTTCTTCATGGAGCCAAAGCCAAACCACATCCCTTGGTGAAGTAAGATAAACGTTCCAATCCTCGTCTCTGTGACCAGGGATTTTGTTGACGGAGCCTTAAGACAGCACAGTGGGTGCTCCAGGACCTGCAAGGACCCTTATTAAAACACGCCTTTTGCTTTCTGACTGAAATCCTTCTTTCTACAGGGGATCAAGTCTAGTAAATAACTGGGCAGAGCCTGAGAGCCTGGAACTCTGCATGCCCATTCTCTCCCAGCTCTTCCCTTATCCCATGCATCTCAAGTCATCCAAATAGATCTCTAGGGCAGTGCTATCCGACGGGACTTCCTGGGACGATGGGACTGTGTTATGTCTGTGCCGTCCAATAGGGTGCTCATGCCTGGCTATTGAAGAATTGAAAAGTGGCTAGTGTGACAAAGAACTGAACTTAAAAATGTATTTAATTTTCATTAATTTAAATTTAAATGGTCTCAGGTGGCTTGTGTTTTTTGGCAGCACTCTCTACTCTTATAATTTCACACTCATGCTTCACTCAACTACCAATCATGCCCGGTGTGTCAGCCCAGATGTCTTTCTCTTCTACCTGTGGAGAACCAGCCTGGTTCCAGGTCCCTGCCAGCAAGTTCCAGAGCTGGTATCTGAGTGAGGTTCAGGCTGAGCTGACCATCTCTGTTTCTCTCCTCTAGAAGCCTAAAGGCCGCCCTACATTTGCTGAGCTGCTGCAGGTTCTCACAGAGATTGCAGAAACCTGGTGACCTGAGTGGAATGCCAACCCAGAGGATCATCTTGCAAAATTATCACAAAAGGAAATCCTGTGTGGGGTCACTGATGATGAACACCTTCCTTTAGAGTGGCTAACTCTTAGAAAGAGTGCAAAGATCACAGGCTTTTCAAACTTTAAAATTTAAGAATATTCTGGAAGTAATTTTTCTACACGGATATTGGAGAGGGACTTCCAAACTCTCCTTTTTTCTGTACTGTCCTTCGTGTCCCATTTGTGAAGAAGGGAAAAATGCTCCATAACCATCTTCATAGTGGCTGCTCTTCATGAGAATAGCCCTGAGAGCCGCTGAGGGTATATGAAAACTTGACCCATTACAGAGCTGAGGAAATATCTTTTCTGAAGAGGAGTGACATTCTTTACTTCAGGGACTCACTGAAATAAAGAAATTCGGCTAACTCATGGAATAAAGGAGCCTTCTCTGCAGAATTTAATGCTTCTGAGCTGTACAGATCTTTATGGAAAATGCACCTTTACAAACCACATGAATGTGAACATTCTTAAGCTGTCTTTTATAATCTTCCTTATGTTATTTAACAAATTGGTTTTACACGTATCTGATTATTTTGGAGACAGTTTCTTGTATTCCAGTTTTTTTTTTTTTTTAAGTAGGCGTGGAGCCCAACATGGGGCTTGAACTCACGACCCTGAGATCAAGACCTGAGCTGAAATCAAGAGTCCCATGCTTAACCAACAGAGCCACCCAGGTGCCCCACTGTGTTCCAGTTTTAAACACTGTGAAGGCAAAGTTCTTTGAACAGGACCTGGTGACATTTCTATTTCCAGTAATATCCATTGTCAGGGTCAGTTCAGAACCTGAATTTCAATGCTAAAATTTCATACTTTGTGTGAAATTGGACAATTTAAGAGACTTTTTAAAAAAATGTGTAATGTACCTATTTTATTTTGTTTTCCTCATAGTGTAAAAGAATGCTCATTGCACAGTTAGGTAAAGAAAAGTTACATGTTTTGAAGATTTTATATCTTTTTTAAGTTAAATCCTTAAATTTTTTTTTTTGAGTTTAGTTGACATACAATGTGATATTAGTTGCAGACGTACAGCATAGTGATTCAACATCTCTGTGTGTTAGGCTCTGCTCACAATGTAGCTCCCATCTGTCACCATATAACGCTATTACAGTATCACTGACTCTATTCCCTGTGCGTGCTTTGTGTCCCCGTGATTTATTTCTTCCATAACTGGAAGCCTGTATCTCCCACTCCCCTTTACCCATTTTGTCCATCCCCCTATGGAAACCATCAATTCATTCTCTGTCTTTATGGGTCTGCTTTTGTAAGAAGCCTCATTTTGCTGTAGAAAGTACTTCCAGGACCTTTCTGGAAGATGACTTGTTTTTTCCCCTAAGAACAAGAGAAGGCAAAAACAAGATATCCAAATGTTACCTCAAACTCCATTATTTCTGAAGTCCAGGATTTTGAATTCAAGATAAAATAACCAGGAGTCATAATTAAATCTTAATTTCTCATGCATTGTTTGTAGAGATGATTGGAAATTTATCTTTATCATTGTGAGTGCTTCACAATTCCCATAGGAAGAAGGGTGTGGTAGAAAGTACAAATGTTATCACCATAAAGTTTCACAATGGGAGCCTAGCGTTTGTATGCCGTTCCACCCCGCATCATGTTCTGCATTATGATTCTCATTAGAATCTAAGCTGCTGGCTGGTAGTAGTTGTGACTTTTAAGTCATATTTCCCCACTGCAAAAATGACATATCTGAATATCCGTAGTACTCGGTCAACATGCACTGAAATAATGAGCATCAGTCACGGGAATGTTCAACTCTGATAATTCAAGTGGTGGTCTCAGAAATATTTGTATGAGACCCTGTGCTGTTTCTGAAACGATCATAACCCTTTTCCTTATGACTACAGGAGGTGAGACAGGCCTCCTACTACTGAGACCCTAGTTCAAGTGAGATAAGCCAAAGTTTAGTGCAAGAGGGTATGAGACCATCAAACAGCAAAAGCCAAGACCGGGGGGAGGTTAATGTTATAACAAACAGAAAACCCAAACACTGAAAAGTTAGGGTCGACTACAGAGCCTCTGCCGTCAATGCAACGCAGGGAGACAGAGTGCAGATCAAGAATGAGTCCAGAGATAAGTCATTGCTGGAGGTCAGATGGCAGCCCCTGGCACGTCTAGGAGCATACGTTGGGGGTGGTAGGCATGCTCTCTTGCCTTGTGATTTAACACTTCCGGAAATTTCGACATACCAAGAAATAGGAGTAACTGGAGCTATCATGTATGTAATGGAGGCTCCAGATAATGTGTGAATTTGGAATATCTTTAGACAGAGATTCAGCTTCTTTGTCTAGCAGAAGAAAAAATTTCTTGAAAAAAAGAGAAGAAAAGAAAAGAAAAAATTTCCTTAAAGAAGTAGTCACACAACGTCTCCTGGAAGGGAACTATGTGTGGCAACCAATCTCAGTATTAGTTATTGATAGGGGTTCTCTGTGGATAGCTTACATAGTTTGGGGTGAGGTAGTG